CTGTAGTCGCAGCTACTCGGGAAGCTGAGGCAGGAGGATCATTTGAGCCCAGGAGTTTGAGGTTGCAGTGAGCTAAGCTGACACCCCGGCACCCTAGCCTGGGCGACAGAGCGAGACTCTGTCTCATAATAAGCGGGGCTGTGAAAAGGAAGCAAACCATGGTGGGCTATGGCAGCAACTCGGGGCTTGGAGAGGAGGGTCAAATACCTGCTCATAGGGATCTTGGGCAAGAGGAGATGAGAACCGACCACAGGGCAGGCCAGACACAAGGACAACCAGGATTTCTCAAAGGAAACAAGGAAGCCACCAGGCCACATCCTTCCGCCTGCCTGAGAACCCACCACCAGGCCTCCTCCCACTGCTGGTGGCCCATATTCTAATCACCTAGGCAGCCAGTGGGGCGGGGGACTGAGACTGATTTAATTCACTTGGCCTTTGAAAGCTTAACATCTTTCCAGTAAACAAATACACGCAGCCCTGCTCCCAGTAAGCTCAAAAAAAACCCGAGCCCCACTCACCATGCCTAGCGCCCATCCTATGGAAAGCTTAACAAAAGTGGTTTATGCATAAATATTACAGATTAGCATTTCCTGAGCACTTCCTATTGGCTGGGATTTTGAGAAGGAGCCAGAGAAGGTAAGATTCATGGTCCCTCCCATGAAGGCGCTGGCATTCTAACCCAGCCACGCCTATGAAAACGACAGAACGACAGAACGTATTTAGGAGGTCGTCTGCGAGCAGGGGCAAGGATTATGTAAGGGGTTAACCACACAAGCACCACAGGCAGGACATGGATAAGGTTCAGCCTCCTCTGATTGGACCACAAGCCTCTGAGGACTCAGCCCTCCTCTGGGTCGTCTGACAACCTGCTCGGGGCTCAGGCATCTGCTCCTAGAGCACTGAGCACCCACCCTTCTGTGTCCTGGGTGTTGCTATGCCTGGGGCTCCAAGCTGAGTTTGCCCCAAGGCTGGCCCAAGAATTCCTGAGCTTCCGGCCCCGGAGCACCCTCTGACCTGCTGTAGACCCTCCTCTCACCTCCTGGAAAGCTGGGCACTGTATTTCACCAGCTTCATTGCCAGTCTTCCTCGACCTCTTCCCTTCCCCCCTTAACTCCTCTCTTCGTTTGGTTTCTTCCTTTCTCAGACACTCAAGTACCACCCCAGAGGCTCATGATAAGTAAACCACTATCATCAGCCTAGACCCCTCCCCTAAGCTCTGGACTCAATTACCCGACCTTACCCAACCTGACAAAACTAACGAATTCATCTTTCCCCCAAACCTCCTCCTCCAATGAACCACTTCAATGAACAGCCCCACCCATGTCACCTAAAGCCAAGTGATTCACTCTGTCCTCTCCACACCCCCCACCGAAGACTCATGTATCGTGATCCCCACTCTAACTCGGACAACCTCAGCGATTTCCTCCCATACTCGTCATCTATTTGGTCACCAGAGCAAGATTCCAAAGCACAAATCCAATCACCAAAATAAAACTGAAATGCATAATTCAATCAGAAAATTAGGAAAAAAAAAGGTGGTTTAAGAAAATAAAGGCAAAAGCATTAGAAGAAAACAGGCAAGGAATAGTTCCCAATTGCACACAAAGACTTTTTTGTTTCATACTGAAAACCCGGCATGTCTCTCTGTACAATACAATTTTGCAATATATTTTCTATTCACTTAGGACTTTCTCAAGAAAAGATTAATAATTTTACAAAGCTGGGGGGGGAGGATGGCAAAGTGTTTAAGAAAAAACAGAAACAGAAAAAAGTTCATTTCTCCCACTCAGAAAGCTCCTGCTAGCGGGTGCATCAGTAGCAGTAGCAGGCAGCAGGCTCCGTCCCCCTCTGGCTATGCGCTGCCGGGCTGCTTTGTGATCCAGACACCAAATTGGGGAAGCAGAAAATCACAACACAAGCCTACTTATTATCTTCAAGACAAAGGGAAAAATATAAAAAGGCAATCAGTTGCAAACTTTTTGCTAATCACCTAGGAAAGGCAAGGCTGTCAGAATCCAGCACTTTTCTTTTTCTCCCCATTTGGTCTTAAAGAAGAAACAAGCACTAGACACTCTGGTTCAATTATATATCTATTTTTTTTTT